TCTGGAGTTCTGCTTTAAATACCTCCTAGTCTTCCTATGGCCTTTCTGGGGGTAGTTGAATCCCTGTCCCAATAGACAGCATCTACAAAATGCTTTGAATTTCCAATAGCTGCATTTTTAGGAATGCCACAAAAAGTTTATTCGCAAAAATGCAGCAAAAAGTTTATTCAACCGTAGATGCTGTGGGAGCATCTGAGGGTGATCATCTTTTAACCAGAAGGTGGCGCTATTGCACAATGTTTTCATTAAATATTAGGAAATAAGCTGCAGGGATATTATGCAACAGCTTACAAAAAAAAGGACGTTTTGAAGAAATACAGATTTGGAAAATGACTTCCTGCACTGCGGCCGATTATAATAAAAGAGCACTCTATTAGTTTGCACCCTAGCAACATGGCATATGTCAACATGGCACCATATAACAAGGCACCCTTACAACGTTTTATATGGCAAGATATCACTCTATAACACCTTAGTAGCATGGCCACAGGGGATCTAATGCCCCTCTACATGTAAATGTCCCCCCATTATGGGGGATTCTACACTGACCACCAATGTCATGAAGGCATTCTACACTGACCACCAATGTAACAAGGGGAATCTACACTGACCACCAATGTAACAAGGGAACTCTACACTGACCACCAATGTGAGGGTTAGTTCACACCATAAGCATGTCTTTCCGATCCGATTCTGGCCGGAACGCACTGCCTCGCATTGCGCCCAGCTCACTTTTTTGCCGGGCAGGAGGGGGCGTGACGGGCCATTGAAGTGAATGGCACCGTAGCCACGCCCTCCGGCCACAATGCGATCGCCCGCACAGGATTGCAAGGCACATTGTGCCTGCAGTGCGGTCCGGTGCGATCAAAATGCTGCAAGCACTATTTTGATCGCACTGCACTGGAGAAAAATACCGGCCTGACACACAGTATTTTGTGAATTGAATGGTATCAGTATCCCTCCTCCTCATCTCCACAACATAGCGATTAATTGTTGTGTAGTCAAAGGAGACTAATTAAGCTAGCCATACCATTTTCATCCTGCGAAATTGCATGTGCTTCGTTCTGTGTGAATGGAGGCAAAAATGAATGTTATTAGTGTATTTTCTTTCCAGGCCCAATGTAACCTCAGGACAATACCTCATTATGGCCACTAGATGGAGCTGTGGAGCATAGGAAAAAAAGTATTTCTGCCCTCCGCCATCATGTTACATAGTTACATAGTTACATAGTATTTGAGGTTGAATAAAGACATATGTCCATCAAGTCCAACCTATTGTGTGTGTGTGTGTGTGTGGGTGTAAAGATCCTCGCGTCATCTCGTTTTTAGGAGTACTTGTACCCCTGTATATTACCGTTTCTCATTAAATCGTCCAAAAGCCTCTTGAATGATTCCAGACTATTAGCTGAAATCACTGCTTGCGGCAGTGAGTTCCAGACCCTAACCGCGCGAACTGAGAAGAATCCCCTTCGCCCCTTGTGTTTGAATTTTTTTTCTACCAGTTTTAGGTGGTGTCCTCTAGTCTTTGTTACGGAATTAATCGTGAAGAGTTTATTGCTAATGTTGCAATGACTATGGAACATTTTGTATGTGAAAATTATGTCCCCCCTTAATCTCCTAAGTTCCAGCGTGAACATATTTCAATTTAGTAACCGTGTCTCATAGCTCTTGTCCTCCATCCCTTTGATGAGTTTGGTCGCCCTTCGCCTGTGGAAGCTCATGTCTCTGTGTCGCTGGACCACAAGGTCACAGGCAGGGTCCACAATGCCGCAAGTCCACAGACATGTGGTACAGAAAGCACGGGCAGAGAGGTTACATCTCGTTCACCACCTACTGGGTAACTCTGATGTCAGCTGGGATGGATGCTGGATGGGGCTGGTGGTGCCATCCGGCAACTTAGCGATGGTGACTCTGTCTGCACCACCCATCTTGACAAACTTCGTTTGAATAACTGAAGCCGTGGGTGACGACTGCCTGATTACAATAGGCGGCAGGGAAGACCCCCCCCTCCACGCTAAACAGGGGAACCGAGTGATTAGCCAATTGCACCATGGCTATGATTTTCCCATGTATGGCTAAAAATCTTTCCAGGGCCTGTCCAGGGAAGCCATTCCACTGAACACGTACATCAGTGTCATTGTAAAGTAACGATGTTGCAATGTTACACTTTGTGCTTTTACATACTGACACATTGATGTGAGTATGAATGGACAATGGATGGGTTAAAGAAGATAAATATTTACAGTCCAAATTTGGATACTAAAACTTCGGGCTTATAGATGCCAGCTGATAAACTGGCACAAAGGCAAGTGTACCCGACTATGAGCTGGATAATACTGCACACGCAGCGGGTATACCTGCCGGCCTGCAGAACTCTCCAATGGGCCATCACAGTGATACATCGTACATGTATCACTGTTGGGAGCCGACAGTGTCCAGCTCCCAATGCCTTTATTAGACATTAGACTGCTGCTTTAATGGGATTCACCTCCAAGTTCGGGTTTGCCAAATTTTCAAGCAAGATTCAACAATCCCTTGGTGAATCGAATTTGGGCAGATCTGCCCATCACCAATGATGTAAAATGTGATTTTGCAACCAATATGCACCTACAGCTGGAAGTAAAGCTGCCGAAACAATAGCAGACCAGATGTTTCTCCTCCTCATAGGCAGCATGATGTGAAACAGATTTAGCTGTCAACAGTGATGTTCCAGCCTGACACTTAAAGTGATACTAAAGTCAAAAATTGTTTTCCCTCCCCCACAATGTTAATTAAAGCACTTACCTTAAATGATGTTTCTTAATCCGACCTTCCTCTTCTTTCCTGTAATTTTCAGCCTTCTCTCCAGCGGCGCGGCGGCTTTCCGATCCAGCGCTGACTCTTCTGTCCTTGCTGGCACTTCCTGTCCCACGGTGTCTGCATGCGGGTGCACGCGTCCATAGACTTACCTTGCATCTCTCCTCCTCTCCCGGCCGAAAATCCGAACTGCGCATGCGCCCGCCCCAAGATGCTTTGTGCCCGCCCCAAGGTGCTTTGCGCCCGCCACAAGGCGCTTTGCGCCCGCCCCAAGGTGCTTTGGGCCCGCCCTAAGGTGCTTTGCGCCCGCCCGAGCAGTTTCGGACTCTCAGACGGGGGCGCACGGCGAAGACGGGTAAGTTTAAACCAGTTTGGAAGCGTTTTTGTAGCAGTAGATGTATGCAAAAAAAACGGAGGGTTTAGAAACCCTTTAAGCTCCCAGGCGTTATTCCCTAGTCTGGCTCGGGGATATTTTTCAGTTTGAAGAGCGGTAACCCCGAGCCAGGATTGCACAGAAAAGTACCACTTACCTTGTCCCTGCGAGCCCGCGGTGTCCTCTGCTGCACGCGGCCGGCCGATGCCGCATCTGAGTTTTAGTTTAGTTTTTGGACGTCACAGCGGGGGGCGGAGCCGGCGTGAAATCCAAAAGTGAAAACATGACATTTACATAGAATACACACAATACCGGTCAATGTAATCTGCTATGATTACACTTATGTATCAAACTATTTCACTTCAATTTTGTCCCTAGAGCTTTGTCCAGTGCGCTGCCTTCACTTTTACTGTTCTTTCTGCCTGTAAACTTGTGAACGTCCATGGCATCCAAAAAGCGTCCCTTTAGGTCAAAAGCGGTTTTAGACCAGGTAGAAAACAGCGATAGTAAATTAGAACTACTTGCAGAATTGAGCGATAGCGATTCGTTGGGAAATTCGTCATCAGACACTGAAAGTCACTTTCAGTGTCTGATGATGAATTTCCCAACACGTGCGTTTTTACCGCGATTCGCGGTAAAAAAAACGCGCGACAGACGCGCGTTTCCGAGGGCTACTTGGCTGTATCCCAATGGAAACGCGTGACAAAAACGCCCCAAAGAAGCTCCTGTACTTCTTTGGGCGTAGTTTTGTAGCGCGTTCATACGGCCTGTAATACGCCCAGGTGTGAACCATACCCATAGGAAATAATGGGATTTCGGTGTTTGAGCGTTTTGCAGAGCGTTCAAACGCGCTACAAAACGCACAAGTGTGAACCAGGCCTAAGGGTACTTAGCATGGTTCTTAAAGCCTCATATAATGTAGAGCACATTAGATATTTTTCTTGCTCCCGAAGCAGACAGCTCACATAAACATTATCAGCAGAGAAGGACTATCTGTACAGGTCTTATCTTTACAGATAAGAGTACCTTAGTAGGAGGGCCTTTAGGCCTGGTTCACACCTGTACATTTGTAGCGCGTTCAATGCTCTACGAACGCTCTACAAAACGCTCAAACATGAAAATCCCATTGTTTTCTATGGGTATGGTTCACACCTTGCCGTATTTCAGCCCGTCTGAACGCGCTACAAAACGGCCTACGCCTGAAAAGGTACATGAGCTTCTTTGCGGCGTTTTTGTAGCGCGTTTCCATTGGGATACAGCCAAGTAGCTCTCGGAAACGCGCGTTTGACGCACGTTTTTTACAGTGAATCGTGGTAAAAACGGGCGTCACTGAACGGGCGACAAACGCGCATATTCGATACGCCTAGGTGTGAACAGAGCCTTAGTCCCAGCTAAATTTTCAATTTGATTGATTGCAGGAGTTCACTCTATAATCAATAGTCATTTTTAAACAGATTTGATAGAAGACACCCTAGTCTATTTGTTTTGCTCTTGATTTATTTTACTGGGGAGGCAGGCAATATTTGGCTCACCTTTCTAATCAGCCAATACAAATTCTTGCAGGTAACCATGCCTGACTTGTATCCTTGATTGAACAGCATGCCTCCATAGTAGCCTACAATGAAAGAATAATTCATAGCTGATTGTATCCTCATGCTCTCATTATACTTGGTAATATGCCTTACTTTTTTAAATAGATCATTAACTGCAATCATTGAAGACCTGCAATGTTCTTTGCACGTTGTACACTCAGTAATAATTAACTTTGGTGTTACCTGTCACTCTTTAGCTGTGAAAAAGCAAAGCTTTTTTTTCAGATGGATCCGAGATCGGAAGACACTTCACGATGCATGAAAGGATAAGAAAAGACTCTTCTCCATCCCATGATGGGAAAATGGAACACGGAACTGAAAAATTACATCTCAAACGTGAACTTGGCCTGGTTAGTGCTGTGTCAATGATAGCTGGCACCATGATTGGCTCTGGTATCTTCATGTCTCCACAGTGGGTCCTCTACTACATGGGCAGCCCTGGAGCCAGCCTTTTAATATGGGCAGCCTGTGGCATTCTGGCGATGTTGGGTGCCCTTTCCTATGCTGAACTTGGTACTGTCATTAAGGAATCTGGAGGAGATTACATTTATATCTTACGGAATGTTGGCACCTTACCAGCCTTCCTCCTGGCATATACATCGGTCATTGTGGTCAGACCAGCTGGCATTGCTGCAGTTTCTTTAAGTTTTGCAGAATATGTGGTGGCTGCTTTCTACCAGGACTGCCCACCACCACAGGTAGTGTTGAAGTGTACAACGGCTGTCTGTATCCTTGTCCTGAGCATCATCAACTGCCTCAATGTCAGGCTTTCTGCCGCCATTATTAACATCTTCACAGCTGCCAAGCTGATGATCTTGCTGGTCATAATTGTGGGTGGTATGGTCCTCTTGGCCCAAGGGAACACTCAGGTCTTTCAGAATGCCTTTGAAAACACAGCTGCAGGTTTTGGTCCAGTTGGAGTGGCTTTTTATCAAGGACTCTGGTCTTATGACGGATGGAACAACCTGAACTATGTAACTGAAGAAGTGAAGAATCCTGAGGTTAGTCAGTGTATTGTAAACCGTCTTTAACAGGCATTTACATATCAGCCATTTCACATTTCAAGGGACTCGCTGGGTTGTCTGTGAATGAGGTACAGGACAACGGAAAATTGTATACTTACCTATCGGTAATTTTCCTTTCCTGACGCCAATACATGGCAGCATACAATGGGTAACTTACATCCCCCAGCCCATTGTATGCTGTCATGTATTGGTGTCAGGACAACCCAAAGTATCAGTGATACTAAAGATGGCCAAACACCAACATTTTGTTTAAAAAAATGTAATTTTTGAAATGTTCATCAATTTGTTTTAATAGTTAATAATGGATTGATGATCGTTTTCAACTTTAGTGATAAAAAAAATCAAAGGAGCAGGATGAAAATGTTTTCTTGAATGAACAAAATTTCACATGCAGGTTTAAGACATCCCCCAAGCATTATAGTCACATTAAAAGATCCTCTCCCCACTTAACAGCAGAGGCGGCTCTAGACTTTGTGAGGCCTTAGGTGAAACTCAAACGTGAGAAACCCATAATGAAAATAAAATGCAAACGATAATAAAAATATTAACTATCAATTGTATGTTTTAAGACTAGCCTTTAATCCCAAAAGCCAGGAACTCACAGCTCCTAGAGCTAGAATTTTATTTCCATCTCATATCTAATTCTACAAATAACTATACACAAAACCCTAACACTAAGGAAGTAATGCACAAAGTGCAAAGGTCAGTAGTAAGAAACATACAGAGTGCAGAGGTCAGGAGGTAATACGCACAGTGCAGCGGCCAGAAGGATCTGACGCACATAGTGCAGGTGGAAGTAATGCACAGAGTGCATCGGTCAGAAGGAGGTAAGTCACAGAGTGAAGAGGTCAAAATTAAATTGCAGAGGTCAGTAATAACGCAGAGTGTGGAGGTCAGCAATAATGCAGAGGTCAGTAATAACGCAGAGTGCAGAGGTCAGTAATAACGCAGAATGCAGAGGTTCAATAATTACGCAAAGTGCGGAGGTCAGTAATAATGCAGAGTGCGGAGGTCAGTTGTAATGCAGAGGTCAGTAATAACACAGAGTGCAGAGGTCAGTAATAACGCAGAGTGCAGAGATCAGTAATAACGCAGAGTGCAGAGGTCAGTAATAACGCAGAGTGCAGAGGTCAGTAATGACGCAAAGTGCTGAGGTCAGTAATAATGCAGAGTGCAGAGGTCAGTTGTAATGCAGAGGCCAGTAATAACGCAGAGTGCAGAGGTCAGTAATAACGCAGAGTGCAGAGGTCAGTAATGACGCAAAGTGCTGAGGTCAGTAATAATGCAGAGTGCAGAGGTCAGTTGTAATGCAGAGGCCAGTAATAACGCAGAGTGCAGAGGTCAGTAATAACGCAGAGTGCGGAGGTCAGTAATAATGCAGATTGCGGAGGTCAGTTGTAATACAGAAGTCAGTAATAACGCAGAGTGCGGAGGTCAGGGGCGTGATGCGGAGTGCAGAGACTTACTGTGCATATACTGTATATCGTCTGATGTTCAGGTGCTCTGCCCTCTTCCTCTCCTGGTGGGGGCTGGGGGAGTAGCAATGTTTCCTGTTCCTGTGAAGCCTCCAGCCCAGCATGGTGCCTCTAGCCGCCTTCTTGTTCCCCAGGACCCGCTCTCCTGCTATCAGGCCAATGGTGGTGATGCAGTCTTCCTCCCAGCCCATAGAGCTGGAGTGGGTGGAGGAAGCTGCACGTTGCCGCCGAGGAGCCCGACTGTTGAAGCGGCCATCAGAGAGGCAGCTGAACCGGCTTTTCTCCTCCCCGCCCGCTGCAGCTACAGAGCGACCAGGAGGCGAGAGATGATAGGTGGGATCGCCGCTGCGATGGCCGTTGAAAGCCCTGCCTTAGACAACCGCCTAACTCGCCTAATTAGAGAGCCGCCTCTGCTTAACAGTATTAAAAAAAATGTTTGCATTGGTACATGTTCCTCATGGCAGTGCTTAGTTTCCTCTACCCGTGTTCAACAAAATTTGGGGAGGGCAGGGAGAAAAAAAAAGGTTTGACTCCAACAGACTTCAGTGAAGTTCGGGTTTATCAGATTTTTTCCTGGGTTTGTCCAATCTCCTGTGAACCGAACCTTCCCTGGTTCACTCATCCCAAATACACAGAACTAGTATATACCGTAGTTGTGTTGGGATTTACTTTGAGGGAGAGGTTGGCCATATTTAAAAAGCAGGTAATCTGATATTCACCAAACATTCACTGCAGATGAGTCAGGCACTGTAATTTAAAACCCATGCACCAGGAAGAGACACATGCCGTAAATGTTTGGTGAATGTCACATTCACTGCTTTATAAATATGCCCCAAATAGTCATATATCTGCAGCTGGGGTAATCCACATTTTTGGTATTTATAATATTGCTTATTAGGCCTCATTCACACACAACGCAAGAGCAAAATTGTATATTGTGTATATACGCGTACATGCGCGTATGTACGTGTGTATATGCATATACGCGCATATATGCGTGCACTATATGCAATCCCAGAATGCATAATTTGTAATAGGAATTTTAATGAGCTGTACGCGTGTCCGTGTGTATACGCGCGCAAACACGCGTGTATGCGCGTAAAATACGCTGCCCGGACGCATCTCAGTTCTATTCTGTTTTTGCGCATTTTTATGTTACGCAAATATACGGCTCCATACGCAGCTATGTGTATGGAGCCATTTATTTGCATATGGTACAATATGCCGGTAAGCGCATATACGCGCGGCAGTGTGAATGAGGCCTTATACATAATTAAAAACGTGTTGCAAAACCATATTTGAAATACATAATAATGCCCATCCTTATACTCTTAGCATTCCCTATTGGCATCCACAATAAACTACCTAGGAAAAAGATACCGGCCCATTTATAGATCTAATTTTAAAATGAGGTCTTAATGAAGAAATACAGTAATTTAGATTGTTAAAGTGACATTAAAGTCAAAAAAATGTGTCCCCTCCCCCCAATGTTAATGTTAGCACTTACCTTAAATGATGTCTCTTAATCCGATCTTCTTTCCTGATGTTTTCAGCTGTCCCTCCAGCGGTGCAGCGGCTCTCCGTTCCAGCGCTGACTCCTCTGTCCTTACTGGCACTTCCGATCCAGCGGTGTCTGCATGCGGGTGCAGGCGTCCATAGACTTACCTTGCGTCTCTGCTCGTCTCCCGGCCGACAATCTAAACTGCGCATGCGCCCGCCCCAAGATGCTTTGCGCCGCCGGAGCAGTTTCGGATTCTCGGGCGGGAGCGCGCGGCAATAACGGGGTAAGTTTAAACCGAGGTTAAAGCGTTTTTTTTTTTAATGTTTTGCCTATATCTACTGCTTGATAGCAGTAGATATAGGCAAAAAAAACCGGAGGGTTTAGAAACCCTTTAACAACACAGAACAGTTACAGCTAACCAGAGCTTTGATGGGCCAGTTTGTTAGAACTCACAGACAGTTTAAAAGGGAAAATGGAGCCATTAAAAATGCTTACAAGATATACAATAAATGTTGACATGATAGACTAATAGAATGATAATAAGATAATTAATAGACTGTAAGCTTTTGCAAGACATGTCCTCTTTCTGCTTTTCCCATGTTGCGTATGGTATCGGTGCCCTACACTGTAAGGAATGTATCTGCTCAGCGTTTAGCTCTGAGCAATTTATTGGTGCTTTAAGAGTGAACACTAGTAATAAACCCCGTAGTAGATTATGAATTCATTACTTTGCTGTTTTCTATCTTGCAGGTGACTCTGCCGCGAGCTGTGATGATTGCAATTCCGCTAGTAACATGCATCTATCTCCTGGCTAATGTCAGCTATTTTGCAGCAATGACTCCACAGGAACTTCTCTCTTCAGACGCCGTGGCTATCAGTTGGGGGTAAGTTTGTTAATGACAATTCTGATTTGTTGGGGTCTTCAGTTGGTCATGAATGAAGCTATCCTTTAGACCAGCGTTTCTCAACCTTTATTCAGCCATGGCACCCTTTAAAATATGCAGAATCTAAAGGCACCCCAGTCTTAAATATAAATGTAACAATTGGCGTTGTGGGTAGCACTTCTGCCTTGCAGCACTCGGGGGCCCTGGTTCGAACCCTGGCCAGCTCACTATCTCCAAGGAGTTTACATGTTCTCCCTGTGCTTGTGTGGGTTTCCTCCGGGTACTCCGGTTTCCTCCCACACTCCAAAGACATGCTGTAGGGTTAATTGGCTCCTCTCAAAATTGTCCCTGTATGTATGCATCTGAGATAGGGACCTTAGATTGTAAGCTCCTTGAGGGCAGGGACTGATGTGAATGCCCGCTATGTAAAGTGCTGCGTAAATTGTTGACTCTATATAAATACTAGGGTTGCACAGATACCAAGTACAGTACTCGGTACAAGTACGAGTACATGTACCGATACTTTTGAGCTCCAAGACTACACTAGAGAAAAATTCAAAAGTTAGGAGGCAGCTGTCATTTGTAAGGAGCACACGGAGCTCCTGGGATTTGTACATCTCTGTTGTAATGTATGATTTTGTTTTTATAACTATAAATAAAGTGATGCACAGATACCAGTTTTGCGAGTAAAGGTACTGGTACTTGCCGAGTACTTACAAGTATGAGTACTGATACATTTTTGTTTATTGTCATGTGACAGTTTTTCTAAATCAATACAGACTAATGATTTCAGGACAGTGGTGGAACGCCAGAGCCCGGTCCCAGCTGCAACCGCTGCAACCCTGGTAGTTCTCATGAAAATGCCAAGTATCGGCACTGGTACTCGAAAAGTATCTGTGCATCCCTAATAAATACCTATAATAAATATAACACATTATAAAAAATTCTCTACCAGATCCTTAGCCTAGATAGGGGTCTGGCCTGGAATGGATTTTAAGGGGGAACCCCATACAAAAAAAAAATCACAGACCCCATTTAACATCAGAGCCCCCATTTATCATAAGCAGCTCCCTTCCAATCAGAACCCCCCTCACATCAGGAGTCCCCTTCACATCAGATTCCTCAGTCCCCACTTCACATCAGAGTCCTACCTTACAATCTGCATGACAGCCAGCAGGATGTGGAGAAGGTTTGAACGGATGTGGGCTTCTCTCCTCTTCTGAAGGCTGTGGGAGGTCCTTGATGCAGCCTTTGTCATGGAAAATTTGAAGGAAACCCTGATAAAGCCAGATAAACCTCAGTTGATAAAGTTTGTCTTAGAGTGTATGTATGGCTAAAACTACACTGCCTGGCCCATAAAAAGGTCACACTCTAATATTTCATTGGACCGCCTTTAGCTTTGATTATGGCACGCATTCACCATGGCATCATTTCAATAAGCTTATGCAATGTCACAACATTTATTTCCCGCCAGAGTTGCATTCATTTTTCTCCAAGATCTTGTAGTGATAATGGGAGAGTCGGACCACTGTGTAAAGTCTTCTCCAGCACATCACAAAGATTCTCAATGGGGTTAAGGTCTGGACTCTGTGGTGGCCAATCCATGTTTGACAATGGTGTCTCATGCTCCCTGAACCACTCTCACAATCTGAGCCCGATGAATCTCAGCATTGTCATCTTGGAATATGCCCAATGTGCCATCAGGGAAGAAAAATCCATTGATGGAAAAACCTGATCATTCAGTATATTCAGGTAGCAGCTGACCTCATTTTTTGGGGACATAATGTTGCTGAACCTAGTAATTATCCAATGGAAGGCTCTGACCTGTTTACTTACCTAAATCCAAGTGGTGACTTTTTTTTGGCCAGGCAGTGTATTTTATTTAATTCAGGGTAGAGTTGGGAAGGGGTTAAAGGAGAACCTGCTGCTGCTAGGGAACCCAGCCTGTGCCAACCTCCAGTGTTCAGCAGACACCAAAGTCTTGCCTAACTCCAAAGTTTAACTACCAAAAGAAATAAATAGATCCACGCAGCACATCCAAAGACCGGGAAATGTATTTTCTAAATGGTGATGCACATCAAAAGCAGTCCTGGAATGCCTTGACACGTTTTGCTCCAAGGTTCTTTATCATAAGGCCAGTTCCGTTTCAGCTGCATTATGATTAAATACAGGCTTCATGAGCCTTCCCTTCAGTCATGGGGCAGCTGATCTATACAACTTGTGATCAAAATAAAATGTATAAACATAAAGGTATTCATAATGGTAAATCAATCCAGCAGACTCAGGGACACCTATAGAATGCAGAGCTCTGTATAATCAGTATCTAGACTGGTTACAGTCCAGGTATCTCTAAATTGAATAGCGACATTTTAGAGGGCGCTACAAAAGGATCAACTTATTCTTCTCTAGGATACAGAATTTGAGGTTTTTACGTGCAAGGCTCTCCTAGATGTAAGCGGAGAAAGAGAAGGAGAAAATTTGGACTTGGTAATGTCCTCCTTATTAGTTTAGGGATGAGACAAGCCATTAGAATCCCAACCAAGGAAGCCCTTGTAGAAGGATGGTTGCATTACTCTGTAGTGGCATGGTTGTGTCATTTTGTTCCATCTGTACCCGGAGCTTATCAGAACAGTGACAAATCCAGTCAACATCAACATTATTTTTTTCTTTTACTTTGGTCCTGAGGCAAGAAACAACTTTTATTACTGTCTGTGACATCACCAGGCTTGTAAAATTCTTGCAGAGGCAGCTGCCGGGAACTCAATTCCTATGGACATGACATGCCCCCAGAACTACATTTCCCCAGGAGCCCTTTCCTTACACACAGTGTGTGAGCAGGTTCTTGGAAATCAAGACAGCCAGGGACAACCCTTTAATGAGGCGGCCTGAGGCAGTTGATTCAAGCGGGCGTCCCACCCAGCTCCTGACAAGTGAAGTCAGTGAGCTGGGTGGTAAGCTGGACAGAGGTATAGTGCAAACCCAACCCAAACCCCCCCCCATAATATGCGCGGCTAACAACACACCACCAACCCTACCCTGCGTAATGTATGCCACCATCACCCGACTGACCCCCCCCAACTTATTTTTATTACTCTCTGCTGCGACATCACTAGGCTTGTAAAACTCGTATGGAGCAGCTGCCAGGAACGCATTTGCTATAGACCTGACATGCTCCCAGAATTACTTCTCACAGGAGCCTTTTCCCTACACACAGTGGGAATCACGGCAGCCAGGACCATCCCTAGGGGGGGGGGAAAGAGCAGGTGTGCCTACTGGTTTCCAGGAGCTGAGGGTGAGGGGGGATATACTGGCTGAAGTCCTGCCCAGCTCCAGTGATGTCAGTGAGCCGGGCAGGACACAAGACAAAGGTACTGTGCAAACCCCCCAGCACCCAGTAGCATGTGCCGCCATCACCTGAACCCCGGTAACGTGCGCCTCCAGCAATCCTCCCCTTTTCCAACCTCAGGCGGCAAAAAGAGTAGGGATGCCCCTAAAAACAGCAGCATTGTTTTGCTGGAAAAGAAATCAATGTCTGCATTGTGGAGTTCAGTAGTCCAGAAAATAGGACTGACAAGGCTGCTTGGGAATCTCAATCCAGTAAAAGCTGTGTGTTGTCAGCCCAAACAGGAGGTTAGAGCACACTGGATTTCTGACAAATCAGCAGGTGTTTTTCTGCACTTGCAGTATTTTTAAAAGATAGAACATAGGAAAATGTGCATATAATGCAGAAATGTAGTGAGGTTTTAAAATGTTGCCCTGATATACACTTTAATCAATATGCCTTGTTCTTAAATGATCACTTTTTGTTATTGCAGGGTGAAGGTGCTGGGAAGCTGGACTTGGATAATATCTCTTGGTGTGGCACTTTCTACTTTCGGTTCAGCTAACGGAACCTTCTTTAGTGGAGGGCGTGTGTGCTATGTGGCAGCCAGAGAGGGCCATTTGGTAGGTCTATTTAATGCTTCATGATTCCTCCTAACCAAGGATGGGCTCGGGCGTGTTCGCAGCTCCACGTGCCGAGCCCGCCAGGAAGCTGACAGCGCCAATCACAGGCACTGAGACATTTCCCAATCTCTACAGCTGCGGACCGGGAAAATGTCTCAGTACCTGTGATTGGCGCTGCGTGCTGTCAGCTTCCTGGCGGGCTCAGCACGTGAAGCTGCGAACACGCCCGAGCCCATCCTTACTCTTAACCCTGAAGGGTGCTTTTCTCGAACCTTATCCCAGCCTTGTTTTCTCATCTTCTCGTTCCTCATGTTGCCATTTCTAAACATTTTTTGAGATTACATTGTAACTGCACACAGGTGGATTCCATTCATTTATTAATGTGACTTCTGGTTGCATTAGAACTTATTTAGGGACTTAAGGTGCCCATACACTGCTCGATTCTCGTGCGAGAATCGGGCGAAATCCCACGATCGTACGAGAATCGAGCAGTGTGAACAAAGACGTGCGACCGTTTCTACTGTACGGTCGCACGTCTTTTGTCGAACCAACATGCTCAAAAACCCGCCAAGAATCGTACGATTGTCGGCGGGTTTCTAGCCTGCTCGTCCGATAGCTGCATTGCGGTCATCGGAAGCTCGCCACTCAGCGGGGCGGGCTTTCGATGATCGCAAGTACGATCTGCCCGTCCAAGGTGGGCAGATCGTACGAGCTTTCAATAAGCATACGACCATCGCAAGGCAAAAGTCTTGCAATGGTCGTAAGGTGTATGGGCACCTTTAGAGGTCAATATCTATCCAATGTAGACTTTCTAATTTTCTATGCTACCAATATAAATGTGTTTTTTTAATATGTAAAAATAATTTGCATTGTTTTTAACCAAACCCTTATATAGTGCACCATAAAAACCCTACTTTACATTGACCTTAATTTGCTCTACTTAAAGTGACATTAAAGTCAAAAACCTTTTTCCCTCCTCCCAATGTTGATGTCAGCACTTACCATAAATGATGTCTCTTAATCCGATCTGCTTCTTCCCTGTCCTTTTCAGCCTTCTCTCCAGCGGTGCGGCGGCTCTCTGATCCAGCGCTGACTCCTCTGTGCTTACTGGCACTTCCTGTCCTACGGTGTCTGCATTGCGGGTGCACGCGTCCATAGACTTACCTTGCGTCTCTCCTCGCCTCCCGGCCGAAAATCCGAACTGCGCATGCGCCCTGCCCCAAGATGCTTTGCGGCCGCCCGAGCAGTTTTGGATTTTCGGACCGGAGCGCGCGGCGAAGACGGGGTAAGTTTAAACCGCTCTTAAAGCGTTTAAAAAAAATAACTTTTTGCATATATCTACTGTTTGCTAGAATTAGATATATGCAAAAAAACATGAGGGTTTAGAAACCCTTTAAGGGTGTGGTGCTTGTTTCTAAGATTAGAACCCATTGCAATTGATTTTCTAAAGATTTTCTATGGTCAGATGGAAAAAGTGCAACAGATTCCTCCATCTACGCTGGCTCTCAAAATACCTGAACAATGCCTGCATCCAATCAGATTGTTCAGGTGTTTTGAGAGCCAGACTAGCAAGATACCGAAGTTTGGCCCAGTGGAAGATTCCTCCATCCACACAGTTTAGCGTAGATGGAGGAATCTGTTGCACTTTTTCCATCTGACCATAGAAAATCTGCAGATAATCTATAGCTGTATAACCAGCATTACATAGAACACCTCAGGGCACAATGCCTCAATGCAATATGTTATGGTGGTGGTGATGATGGATAGGGGGAGGTGTGCTGTAGCTCTAACACTTTCTATCCTAGGGCTTGCTCCTCTATAGATACAGTAGAATGAGTGAGCATTCTCACCTTGGACCAGTAGCGTGTTACAGGCTACTGCAAACACTACTGCAAACAGATTTACCTTGGATCAGCAACAGGCAACCTCAGCACTCCAGCTTAAGACAGGAAGTATGTTACTAGCATAATCATGAGTAAAAAAAAAAAAAAAGCCTAATTAAAAGGAAAACAAATGCAGCCACCACATCTAAGGACTGCTAAGCTGATATATAATACATTTTTCTTCTTGGGTTTAGATATGGTTTAACTGTATTATATAAAAGATAATTTTGTGATTTATACTAATATTGGCGAAAAGAGCTTGCGGTGCTGTATCCAGCAAGCTGACCCCCACTAATCTATCATCTATATGGGGCTGATTTATAAATCTTCCACCCAGCGAATAGCTGAGCAAATGCCGTTTGCACAGCACTGCCACCACTAGATGGCGCTGAAGAGCATAGGACTTTCCTCTGCCCCTCGGCTCCATCTAGTGGTGGTAGTGCCGTGGGAATGGCATTAGCCCAGCTGTATGCTGAGCGAAAGAATCTTAAATCAGTCCCCATTTGTTCTGGTGAAAATAAAGTAAAGAAAAATCCCAAATTTTGAGGTGTCACAAGAACAGAAATAGAGGAGTAATCTTATTATCTTATTGCTGTGACAATCAAGGAGGGTATTTCCCTCACGTAGGAGAGATTTGCTGTAACGTCCTGTTGTATCCAGAGGACAGGAAGTTAATAAAATTCTTTTTATTCTGACAGGGGTTCTAACCACATCCTACTCTATCCAAAATGTTTGCTTTAGATACAAAACCTATTTGTTTCATTTACATCTGCAGCCGGACGTTCTCTCAATGGTTCATGTGAAGTGGCTGACGCCGTCCCCAGCCCTGATCTTCACCACGGTTATCTCATTAATAATGATCATTCCCGGAGATTTCAGCACTATTGTAAACCTCTTCAGGTAGGTGGAGACGTTTCATGCAGAATCTCTTTCATCCTTTACATCTTGGCTTCTCAAGCAGGTCATAAACGGAATTTTTTTTGGTTAGGAAGGTATGAGAAGACTTTACAAATATTGCATTCTTCAAATAAAATCATATTACCCAACCTACGACCACAAGCAGCACTTTGGTACTTATTTTGTGGCCCTCGGGCCCCAGCAGCAGGTATTTTTTTTTTCCCAGGCACTAGTGGTTTTACGGAGCACAAATGTGGGAACATTGATTGATAAAGGTGCTGTAATGGCACTGATCTCGGGCCGTCTCATATAACATCTCTATGTCTGGTCTCTGACTGCCTTCTGCAGCAAGTCCCCAGTCTCCAGCCACACCTTTAGTACCTCTTCAGTGTCTGACCATCTCCTGTAACATTACATACTTTATATTGTATGTTTACAGTACAGTTGGGTTTCTTTAGAAATCAGCCACAGCATGAGTATTAAAGCTTGCCTCCGGCCAACATGCTGCAGAGAAGAACCCTCGAAGCAGTGGTCTCTCTGCAGAGGTCTGATATGCCTTCTTCCAGTCAGACCTAGGCCCAGATTCCCCACAAGGCCACCGAGGCCCGGCCTCGGGGCGGCAGGGCGCAGAGGGGCGGCAGAGGTGTCCTTGTGGGAAAGTGGCCCCCTCTACATTCAGTCCTGCTTTGTACAAGCAGGACTGAATGTAGAGTGAGGCAGACGATTTTTCATTTACATGTGAAATCGCCGATGTCGCCGATTTCACATATAAACAGTGTGCAGCCTTCTCCCCTCCCCCCTGCACTTACCTCTCTCCCCCTCCCCCTGCACTTACCTCTCTCCCCCTCCCCCCTGCACTTACCTCTCTCCTCTGGTTCTGGCCTCCGCCGCCGAGTCCCGAGTCTCTGACTGCAGTGACCAGAGCGGCAGGGTTATAAGTAACCCTGCCGCTCCGTGTAGACTGTAGACAGTGAGAGGGGAGAACTGTGCTGTGCTCTTCCTCTCTCACCTGTCACAGGAGTTCCGGCACAGTGCTGTCCTAGAACTCCTGTATTGGAGGTGACAGGGTCAATAAAGAGAACCTGTCACCTCCAACTGCTTTTGCACAGGGGATTGTTTTCTCCTGTGTGATAGCAATAAAGTTAGGTGGAAAAAAAAATGAAATTGATGGGAAGGGGGGGTACATCGCAGAACCTGGCCTTGGGGCAGCACTGAGAGTAAATCCGGCCCTGGTCAGACCTATAGCTCTGCAATCAGCAAATCTCATGCTTCTTGCTGATTGAGAGAGCTCCAGCATTGTCTGGGCAGGGGACATGTTGGACCTCTGTAGAGAGACAAGCTTTTCTACTCAGACTCTAGCTTCTTTTCTAAACTGCAAGACTTTGCATACCTTTTCTTTTCATGCATGTGGAGTGTCTTTAGCTGATATAACCTGAAATTCTAGTTGGGCTTTAAATCCTCCAAAATCATACAGTCTTTGGCCAGGCTTATCCCCATGTGACACTAGAGATTTTGCCAGACCAATAACAATCTACTCACCTTCTTGAAGAATGTTGAAGTCCCACTGAACAAACCAGCAAGATATTGCGCTGTTGGTCCTCCCTCGCTAGAGATCAAGATTCTAAAATGTTTCGAGAGTAGGGGCTAAGGCCATCTTATCAACAGGGGGGCAAAAGTAGTCAGGACAGGTTTTATAACTTGCTGGATCTTATGTAAATACACTGCCTGGCCGAAAAAGGTTACCACCTGGGTCTACATTTCTCTCACCATATAAGTCAATGGCAATGCAAAAGCAACTTGAAGAAGGCTGATGAGGCTTAGAAGGAGGTCAACTGCAGGTCAGAAGACAGTCAGCTGCTGGTCAGAAGATGGTTAACTGCTGGTCAGAAAATGGTCAACTGCAGATCACAAAATGGTCAACTGCAGGTCAAATGCATCTGGGAATAGACTTAGAACCAGTGACGTGCCATGCCTTCTGTGCTAGGTGAGGCATCCCCCAGCCAGCCGAAGCTCCACCCCATCCCACCAAAGCTCCGCCCCATCCACCCAAAGCCCTGCCCGTCTCGCTGAAACCCCCCCACAGCTAGATAACCAAGCTGTGTGGGGAGGAGACAGGGAGGAGCCTCCCTGACCCTCACTGCTCGTCACTGGTGAGGCATCAAGACCGATGTCCTCACTTCCTCTTCGGAATGCAGGCAGTGATGTGTATTACATCACTGCCTGCATTCAGTTTCACTCTCCAGTACAGAAACCGGAGAGAAGCTGGTGAAGCAGGTCCCTGCTTCATCAGCTTCTCTGGGGGTCCCTAGGTGACATTAGGGGTCTTAAGACCCCTGATGTCTCCATAAAGAGGACCTGTCACTGCAAATTGGCTATCACATAGGGAGCTTGCTTGCTCCCTATGTGATAGCAATAAAGTTCAGGGGGAAAAAAAAGGTTTAAAAAAATTTGTCACAAAAAAATTTAAAATCACATATCAAAGCAATAAATAAAAGTCCCCCCCCCCCCCACACGCAAACATGCGTCAAGCCCGCCTACGTGCGAAAACGCCGATTACATCCATTGCGCCGCACATGTTACATATCGCCGCGAACGTCGCAGTGAAACAAATAATTCTAGGGTCATCAATCACTGATAGCACAAAACTGATGAGTGGTAAAAGCTTTTAAATCGTCGGCTATGGTCAATTTTGAGTATGGTAGTTTTTTGCGATTTAACGGGTGCGTGCAATTTTAAACCTCAACATGTTTGGTGTCTATTTACTCGACGTGACCCCGTCTTTTATATTTTACCAAAAAATTGGGTAATAATAAATGTTTTATAACATAACGTAGAGAGAACAGGTTTTTTTTCAAAATTTTCGGTACTTTTTTTATTATACAGTAAAAAAAAAAAACCTGCAGTGGTGATTAAATACCACCAAAAGAAAGCTCTACCTGTCCCCAAAAAATTGTATAAAATTCATTTCAGTACAGCGTTGTATGACGGAATAAATGTCAGTCAAAGTACCGCAGCGCTGAATACTGAAAAATGGCCTGGACAGGAAGGGGGTATAAACACCCCGGTCAGCAAGTGGTTAAACTGCATTGTCCTTATGGAGAAGTTTCAAGCTGCAAAGTAGGCCCTCTGCAGCCTGGCCTTGGCTAGCTTAATGATTTCTACTGAAGTGTCTTGTCCTTATTTCATTGCCTTGTCCTTATTTCATACACCACTGTGCTTTATTCTAACTGGACATTTCAGTTTGCGCAGTGATATATTGTGATGACTGTAATCTTGTTCCCTTGTCTACATTCAGCTTTACAGCCTGGCTCTTCTACGGTACAACGATTTCTGGCCTGATATATATGAAGATTAAAAAGCCGGATATTCCCAGGCCATATAAAGTAAGCCATAAAATGTTCTGCTCATTAGCTGTATCCGCTAGCAAGAAATGAGTGAATTGAGCTGAAGAGAATGATGGTAGCACAGATAAGTATCTTTGAAGGGATTATCTTGCTTTCCTTGGCTTTACAGAACCTCTCCTACTATAGATAGCTTCTTCTATTATTTTGTGTTTCTATATTACATCAGATTTTGTGCCTTTCATTGTTTATAAATTGGTGCTGAGTGCAGGGACTGAGCGAAATCCAGTCATTTGGCTCACATGTAGTGCAGTACATCGGACTGGAAGCCACTGGGATCATTTATATTTATTATACTGTTCATTGCTGTATTATTGCCTGGTGTTGGCTCTCTGCACAATTGCATGTGAAGAAGACCATGAGCAGTGATGCCAATACATCACTCTAGTTCAGCCTTCCTCAACTGGGTTGCTTTCTGGTTACCTCAGGGGTGCCGTGATATTTTTGCACAGTTTCATGCCTTTCCATGGTGCAGGAAAGCCACTATGGAAATGAATGACTCTAATCCAGGGAAGGTGAGATCCATTCAGAAAAAGACAGGAGTTTGTCTCCATCCTACCGCAGCTCCTGATGTGATGAGAGTACTGAGGACTCTGATGTGAGGGGAGGACTGAGGACTCTGATGTGAGGGGAGGACTGAGGACTCTGATGTGGAGGGAGGACTGAGGACTCTGATGTGAGGGGAGGACTGAGGACTCTGATGTGAGGAGAGCACTGAGGACTCTGATGTGAAGGGAGCACTGAGGACTCTGATGTGAGGGGAGGACTGAGGACTCTGATGTGGAGGGAGGACTGAGGACTCTGATGTGGAGGGAGGACTGAGGACTCTGATGTGGAGGGAGGAGTGAGGTCTCTAATGTAAAGGGGAACTTTGATTTGAAAGGGTGGGCCCTGATGTAAAGGGAGGACTCTGATGTGACGAGGGCTCCAGATGTGAAGGGGGACTCTAATGTGAAGTGGGGCTTCTGATGTGAAAGGGGGCTCCTGATGTAAAAGGAAGGTTCCTGATATGAAGAGTGATGCCTCCAAAACAGAAAGTAAAGGGAAATCTCCCCGATGGAACACAGCCTGCAGCCTGCACCGAGTGCTCATAATGTGCTGCGATTCCCAGAGCTATTTGCGGTGCGAATAGTATATAAATCACCTTCATATCTACAAATTGTCTCTATTATTCAGTATTATTTTCTTATCATATATATTACCAAATCTGTCTTTGGGATGCTGCTAATGCATTTCACATGTTGAATTCAATTCATTTATATTCAGTCCAAGTCTGTTTCCGTGCTCCAACCACCCTTATTTATTGAAAGTAAAAGATTTCTCCCAATAAGCGTGACATCTTTTTTATTTCAGGTTCCAATCATCATCCCAGTGATTGTACTTATCGCCGCCGTGTACCTGGTCCTGGCACCCATCATCGGCAGCCCTCAGCTGGAGTATCTCTATGTCGTGCTCTTTATCCTCAGCGGAGTTCTTCTTTACATTCCTGTGGTCCGTTATAAATGGTCTCCCAAATGTTTCCGATCCATCACCCTCTATCTGCAGCTGCTGCTGGAAGTTTCTCCAGCTGAGCGAAACGACTGAGACGAAGCCCGGAGCCATCTGTGTCCCTCTTATCTGTGCACAGATCCCAGTACTTCCAGTTCCTTTGGACTTTTGCTGCTTTATTTTGGACCCAAACCCACATACGTTTTAAGCAGCACCCAACTGCAGTTTTGTTAGGGAAGAAAAAGAGCCCAATCATTTCCTGGTCAGTTATGTCCATACATTACAAGGACTCTCACAGACTTCATTACAGATTCTTATCTGCTTGTGCACTGCAGATACTGAGACAGTCTATTTCGATATCTTGCTCAAACAATGATTCGTGGGCGGGGTCTACCATAACATCAGACTCATTGTTGTAAAAGAAGACATTGCATCAAATTGCATCCCCAGTGCCCCTGTACATAAGATCTATTTATAAAAAATCTGCATAGCTTATTCATCCATTGCAACTGCATCTACATTCATTCTGTACACGTTAACCAGCTATCATGAGAATGTTGCAAAATGAATGTTAGTGTCATTTCTTTTCTGGTTAAATGTTCTTCAGTAAGTATATTGATATAGAACAGAGTGAATGGGGAAAATACCAGATTATGGCCACCAGATGGAGCTGAGGATCATAGGACATAACTACATGTTAGTAACGAGTTACAATGTTGTAATTCTAGAGACTGCTGGAGAGAATGAGCACATACATGTAACCATTGCTACTACGGCGATTGGGACTTTACACTTGTGGAATGTGCAATGTTTTGGGGTCATTTTCTTTTTGTGTTCATGGATTCTTTTGCCCCTATATGCACACGTCTTCTATATATGATATCTTTATATACTGAGAAGGGGGGCAGGCTGTAATTCATTTTTCTATACTCACTCAGAGTTTGCTCACAGTGGGTGAGGATGATCACATGCACACACATGCATTTCCATGTACTTGCTCTCATGCATTTACATTAAATTTAAATTAAATGTGTGCATGGACACAGTGGCGTCACAAGGGGGGTGCGTCCCGCACCCGGGTGACACCATTGGAGGGGTGACACCAAAATGACTGACAGTCATTTTGGTATCACCCCCCTCTGAAAAGTCGGGCACTCGGTCAAGGACCGAGAGCCCGACAGTTGCGCGAGAGAGGAGGGGACCCGGCGGCATACCATATCCCGCCAGGTGACGTCCCCTCCTCTCTCTGCCGGCGTCCATCTCTAAGATGGCCGCTGGCAGGTAACAGCGGTACCGCCCGTGACACGCGTGTGCGATAACCGCACACCGCCTCCTCCTTTTCTGCCGATGCCGGGCCCAGCCTCCTCTTCTGCAGCTGCTGGCTGTCATTGATTCAGCAGCGGCTGTGAGGAGGAATGCGCCGCTGCACTAACAAGTTGTTCAAGTGATCTGGACAGCGGCGTGTTCCTCTCCTCACAGCCGGCAGCAGCCTGGGATGCCATAGCAACACAGGCGGCCAGCAAGGCATCAGGGGGATGTCCTGGCCAGGCCCCCCTTGTTCCCCCGGGCTCCATAGCAGCCGCCTGGGTCGCTATGGCGATTGTTCCGCCACTGATACATTCCATTTGTAACCTTGGCCTTTATTGTCCTTTGACATCTATACCTTTTTGGGGTATTGTATCTTTATCCTTGTTCAAACGCTGTACTTTTCTGTTATTCCTAAACACAAATTGTGTAAAAAAAGAATTGCTGCAGTCACTAATCTTCACAAATTTACAGCTAACCAGCCCTATAGGGTTGGGGGCAGAATCACAACCCGTTGTATGCTGCCATGATGCACCAGGAAAAACTTGAAATGTAATGGCTTAGGGCACATCACTTTTCAAGCACATTATTATTTGTATGAAAGACAAATATAAATTTTACTGAATACAGCTCCATGCAACACGACTAACAATTCAAAATTGTGGTTGAAGATAATATGGTTCTTTTAAAAAAAAAGATTCATGAGCGCATATCAGAAACCAAACGCTAATGTCGTGTGTGCTAACCATAAACCCTGTTTTCATGCGTAATATATATTTTTTTATATTTGTATTCATTTGCATATATAAAAACATAAACTGTATAAAAAAACTCATACAACTGTACAAAAGTGCAGTAAGAACAAACAAGCACTAAAAACATGAGGAGACATTTCCCAAAGTGGCAACCGCCAATATGGTAAAAAAAAAGAAAAAGAGGAGATCCAGAGGTGACACACAGATCATCCCATAGCAAAGGAGCACAAAAAAAATGTCTATGGCCTGGTTCACACCTGGGCGTTTTACAGCGCGTTCCCACGCGCTGTAAAACGCTCAACATGTGAAAACCAATAATTGCCTATGGGCATGGTTCCCACCTGGGCGTTTTACAGCGCGTACGAACGCCCTAGGCCCAAAGAAGTACAGGAGCTTCTTTGGGGCGTATTTGCCGCGCGTATCCATTAGGATACAGCCGGATAGCTCTCGGAAATGCACGTTTGTCGCGCGTTTCTTTTACCGCAAATTGTGGTGCAAATGCGCATATTCTGTACGCCCAATTGTGAACCCAGCCTAAGGGTGGAGATACAATACATTATAGAGATAAAACTCCCACAACATTACGATGCAGTGTCCGCTGCAGAATTAGAGTGTTCTAGCCAATTATCCCATATCTTATGATATTTATTAGGGCATGCTCTGTGATGGTAGGTGTCTTGATACAAAGGTAGGTTATCATTAACCATTTTTTTTCCGAAAGAGAACCGTGGGAGGATTGGGTTTCTTCCAACACATACCAATTGGCTTGCGGGCATAAAAGAGAAGCAAACCCAGGAGCGTGCGTTAGTAGTTAGTAGGGGCTATCTCCTCCACCATGCCCAATCTCGCTGATGGGGCAAGGCTCAAAGAGGTAACCATGGTTACATTCATGCATAATATTTTAACACATTTTTATGACTGCGCACCATCCTCAAAACACTTTACCGATAAAATATGCAAGGAAAACTGGGAGCAAGGATAGAGTTTGTGCCCATAGCACCAGTCACAATTGTATTCTCTGAATAAGGGGTTATTATGGATAACAGCTGCACATTTGCTCCACAGTACATAAATAAGCCCTAATATAAAGCAAAGCGAGTACAATCCGTAATACAGAAGCTGTTAAGAAACTGAACATAAATCCTTAAACTGCCTAGATTTCCATGTCAAGAATCACACAGCACAAAGTCATCTCTCTGACTAGCACAATCATGTCCAGCAAAGGATCCGCCATACAGTACAAAGGCTCTATACAGCACTGTGCCCTGGTGCCACTGACATGATGCCCTCCTCCTATGTTCTGCCCGCGTATTACCCTGAGTGGGTTTTCAAACACTGGCTATAGTTCTCAGGCAGCGAACAATGTTTCCCTGTGTGTCCCAGTTTACCACGGGGCCTATAACAGTATGAATATAATATGCGATATATAATGTCCCACGCTAATGATGAATGCATTTCAGACAATGGACAGTATTTAGCACGCTTATAGAATATAAACTGATGTAGTCCATGTTAGAAATACAACTTCATCTAAACACATAACCAACAGTCCACCCTAACTATAGCTCTGGAACTACTTCCTAAAGCCAAAGTCATTTGGTCAGGAAATATTTAAGTAAACGTAAAGCAAAACATAGGATTCAGCAATTTAATAGATAGAATATAAAAAGGTATTTACTGCATTTTGTTTATTTATCACATTGTTTTACGTTATAGTGGGACATGAAGTCTGCTGTAGTTGGCAGTCTGATCCTATAGGTTTTAGATGGCATAATAGTCATGATTAAAAATGCATTTTTGATTGAATGCTAACTAAACCCTACAAAGGCAATCTTAATATCTTTCTGCTAAGAGATTTATAGAGGCCTTGTCACCAGACCGTTGACTGCAATAACAATCTTCCCATAGGATAATATGAGCATTTAGTGGACTTTATTCATGTTATTCACCTGTAAAAACCTCCCTTGTTTAAACATTCAAAAGCACTGAGACTGCTGGTGGGCGCCGCCATCTTGGATGTGATGTCAGCAGCCCCAGCATACTCAATGCTGACACCCTATAGCAGGGGTAGGCAAATTCTGGCCCTTCAGCTGTGGTGGAACTACAAACTCCATCATGCATCTACCTCTGGGAGTCATGCGTGTGGCTGTCAGAATCTTGCAATGCCTCATGAGATTTGTAGTTGCACCACAGCCAGAGCCGGATTTCCCAATAAAGAGAACCTGTCACCTCCAAATGCTAACAAGCCCCTGTGTGATACCACTAAAGTTTAGGGGGGGGGGGGAATATGCTTCATCCATATGTGCATTGCTTGTACAGCTCCCTTACGTGCCCTATAGAAGTGCTGGGAGCAAGAATGTGATGTCACTCTGGTCCAGGAAACCTCTACAGGACACATGAGGGAGCTGTAAGCAATACACGTATGGATGGAGCTCCCTCGCGGCCATACCCCTAGCCAACCTCAAGTTGACACTCGGCACTGGGCAGCATATTTTGAATGGCTGCTCGGCACGAGAACTGACAGTGCTGCGCTAGGTGGAGGCTGGGGAGCTTCTGGAAGGCTATGTGGCGACCAACCAGTTAATAACCACGGCTTTACACTAAGCTACACAAGTAATATGTAGCAGCAATCAGTCTCACGTGATTGCACAATACTTCATTCATGTGCGATGGATCACTATAAGACAGTGACGTGACGTGCCTTGCCTTCTGTGCTGGGTAAGCCGTCCCCAAGCCCGCCGGAGGTCCGCCCCGCCCCAACGAAGCTCCAGCGCGTTTTACAGCGCGTACGAACGCCCTAGGCCCAAAGAAGTACAGGAGCTTCTTTGGGGCGTATTTGCCGCGCGTATCCATTAGGATACAGCCGGATAGCTCTCGGAAATGCACGTTTGTCGCGCGTTTCTTTTACCGCAAATTGTGGTGCAAATGCGCATATTCTGTACGCCCAATTGTGAACCCAGCCTAAGGGTGGAGATACAATACATTATAGAGATAAAACTCCCACAACATTACGATGCAGTGTCCGCTGCAGAATTAGAGTGTTCTAGCCAATTATCCCATATCTTATGATATTTATTAGGGCATGCTCTGTGATGGTAGGTGTCTTGATACAAAGGTAGGTTATCATTAACCATTTTTTTTCCGAAAGAGAACCGTGGGAGGATTGGGTTT